AGTATTCTCCTTTCCGATGCAATTTCACTGAATAACCATTCCCTGTAAATATGTTTGATTTCGGGGTAGGGAGGTCCTCCAAAATGTACAGGCCAAGTATGGATCACATACTTCATTAACAAAATAGAAAATAAAGGGTCTGGAACTGTTGGGTATTTTTCTACTGTTCTGATCTGGAATTTGATAAAATAATAACTCACCCAGTGGGCTTGAGTTTGCTATGAACAACGTTTGTCATTTTCTCTTGCAGGCTCTCTTGGACTATCTTACTTACTGGATTGCTAGTGGTATTATACGAGATATCAAAGGGTGTTAAGCCTGCATTTTGATGAATATTCAGTCCTATCGGTATTAATGTATTAAGCGTCTCAATCCAATAGGCTTCTATAGCTTGACAGAATTTCGTAATTTCATCTTCTGGTCAATTACGCTTAAATGGGGTTAGGATAAGATCATCAGATGAATGGTCGTCCAAGTTGAAATGCTTAGAAAAGAGCCCGTCTTTTATTAATTTGATATCTGATCTATGGGCAGTAAAACGAGTGCCTAAATTATTTTTGGATTCTCCTACATATTGGTTGGGACATTTCTATCATGATATGAAGTAAACTAAAGTCGAGGTTCATGTGTTTGATGCTCTTGAATTGGATACCTTTTCTTACTGGAATTTCTCATTAAAAATTGATTTTCTTATATAAAGTTACATGTTTTGCGTCTATTTATCTAAACACAATTGAATGGGTTTGGTTAAAATTGGTTAATCTTGTGGAAATTCGGTGAAATCGTAAAAACTATGATTTAATTATACCAGAAAAGGTATGTTTTGAGCTCTTGTGCAGGAGTTGATGCGTATAAGTTTCGGTAAAACATCATGTTTATTCGTTTATGCTATGGAGTGTTATTTGTAAACAGTGGTATCTTAAAAATCTATGCTCATTTGACTAACGTTGGCAATAAGTTTAATGGATGGATTGTCATTATGGAGAATTTCAAAGAATTCCCAAAACTGTTCTATCGAATAAGTCCAAACCATAATATATCATCAAAAAAGCGACCATAAAACAATTGGTCAAATGGACAAAGGAGTGATACCTCACGTTTCCTCTCTGCCATGAAAAGAAATATGAAATGTGAAAGGGCGAAACGCTTTCCCATTGCTGTCCCAGTCAGAAGTTTGCAGATTTGTTTTACCATTAAATGTAAAATCATTGCGACTTAGGCAAATATATTGTGATATTGGTTACTTTGTTAATAGTAAACTGTAATTACAAGAGTATATTTGGCTAATTAATAGTTAATAGTCAATAAGTAAATTGTAATCTCACAGTTTAATAATAACTGATTCGAGAGAAATCAAATAAGCCAGAAGGTATATATATATATGTATATATATATGTCAGATTTATTCACATCACAATATACGTTTTCGAAGGAAGGTTTAGTGTATACTTAGAATTTATTGCAAAGCTAAAATCCCCTTATTTCCTATATAAGTAAATTTTTTCCTTTTCTCCTCGGCGAATGAAATGCATTTAACGTTGGATTTTTCTTAGGCTATAAATAAACTTTAAGGGGGCCCATATCATACACAATATTATGACCACGTGATTTTAGATGTCCCATTTAAGTGTCATTGTTATTTTGTAAGATTGCTCTCTACACTGATCAAATGTGTATAGCTTGAACTTCCTTGTTGATTTAATTAGATTATTTTCTTTGGTAGGTGACGGACTCAGAGGAAATAAATATATCTACAACGTTAAACGACCCGATATTTGGTCAACCAACTATCATCATGGACTCAGCAGCTGATCTGAAGCATAAAACGCCAGCTGCTATGAAAGAATCAGACTTTCATAATTCAGAACCGGTGCTAACAGAGTTACGAAATGCTGATTTTCCTGAAGGTAAGCTGGAGTTTCTATTATTTGACATATATCCCGACTTGTATACAATTATAATTAAGAAATGATATGGATACGATACTTTATTTAACACAAATTATAGTAATGCGAGAAATAAATTTTCATTTTCGACGAGCATCAATAGTCATTAATGATTTTTTTTTTCTCGTCTTTACCGGATAAAGGAAGTGACAGTATTACTATTAATGTTACGAACTATCACGATTGTGGTGGGAAACAGGGAAAATAACCAAATTCAGTAATGCAAACATCCTGTTTATCGTGTCAAGGGTGGTTAATGTTTTTACTAGATATGTTTAGGCCTAATATTAGATTTGAACTTTTTTTTTTTCAACTTTATTCAGTGCATTATTGATAACTCAAGGGTGAGATATAAGTTTATGATTTTTTTCAAAAGAAAACCCATGTGCACATTTTTCTGTTGCTCATTTATTGTAAATTTGATACCCGTTGTACATTTCTCGATATTTATTCTAGTTATTACTGCTTGTTATTTGTTAAATATTAAATACATTGCAAAACCTAGAGTAAGTTGAAGCCTGGTGTTTTGTATCCGTGGCGCATCTCAACTAGAACCTATAAGTTATGCAATTTTGCGTGCAAACACAAAATGAAAATTGTCAGTTGCAAATATTTCTATAGTATCTTTTTTGAGATGTTCCAGTCCACCGTATTCTTGCGATTGGCACAAGAGGGTCACATGTCACGCACAGACACCTTAAGGTTGACCCGTAGTCGACTCTTTCAAACTAGTATATATATCATGCAGCCAGTCGGTAAAAAGAATATTCAATACAGGTGTTTTATTTGTAGCCACTCATACGTAACTACACACAAATAGTATTACATGAACACAGACTATTTCAATATGCATGGGAAACCCAGTCTTTATCTATTATAGGGTGTATTATAGGTGTTATTAGATATATACCTCCTCGTGTTTTCACGTTAACTTGAATAAGACGTCCAAAAAATAAAATTTTTCAAAAGCAATGAATAGACTATGATTCATTGCTAAAGGAGAATTCCCTATTTATATTTACTTAGTATTTTTAGTATTTTAATACAAAGTATTAAGTAGTTGAGACGCCCCAATTCCCAAGGTCAAGACAATTACAAGAACCCTTCTGTATTTGCAAGCGTGTGAAGATTTTATTTTAAGCGATGATTATCAATTTAAAAATGCTTTTAGAGTGATTTTTTTTAGCTCTATATTACAACTAAGAAAGACTATGTCCGTTGTTTGAGTAAACAAGGGAGAATCGCATTCTGATGCCCAGTTTGTTTGATTTAAGATTATGTTGATATAAAATACCCACATTTCTAGACAATATCGTACTCTTTACACAGGCACTTCGCCAAAAACTCTAATGACAGAAGTCATGCCGACAAATTTTGACATCGTAGTTCGTCAGAATGAAATCTTGTGTTCGAAATTGGACTTAAATCTTTTTATGACTGGTTTGCTATCGAAAAGTTGTTCTACACGAATTGAAATAATAACCCTTTTGGATATACAACAAGTTCAGACTTATTCAGACATGATTGCGTTGTATTTGCTGCACACTATGATATGAGTAAACTGATCACAATGTAAAATGAAATGAATATATTTGATTTGAACTCTAATTCTTCACTTCACTACAAGACTTTTCATTATGAATAACACACGATATTGTATTGTGCTCAGTAGAAAGGTCTAAATTTAGTTTGCAGATCAAACGCCAATGTCTATATAAATAAATAGTTGTAAAATATAACAATGTATTTGTTATTGGATCCATAAAACCAGTCATTATCTTGCAAACATTGTACTCCGGCTGGTTGAATTTTGTCCAAAAAAATGTTGAATGGTTTCCAAAAACATGCATATTCCAATAATAAATTATTAGGAATAGTGCCCATCGTATTTATGATTGGTTATTATTGAGATAACAAGAGCTTACCGTTTGTTGCTCTGATACATCATAATAAGTTCATTACTCAATATTCTGTCATGCAAGTATTTTCTGTTGTTGACTGTTTTCAATGTAAATACGACCAAGGCCTTTCTCTTTGTAGATGTATTGTATGATCTATCACAGAGTACCAATTTTACCATATGTTCCAGCTTTCATGTTTTAAATCCTTCAACACCGCCATTAGGCCTTATAATTGACGAAGACTTGGAACTAAGCGAGGGAAGATTATTTATTAAAGAGGAACCACTAGATTTAGAATCAGGTAAATGAAAAAGAACATTATCAAAGTGCTTTCAACGCCTGCTTAGCAATCGATGATTTCAAATAGAAAGTTTAAGAAATCTGTTCCATTTGTCATTTAGATTGGCACTCAAGGAAGGACAATACTTTCAAAATTGAGGCACGTTAACTTTCACCCAGTTTGCGCATCTGCTTTATCTTACAGGTGGACTTTAAATGGAAGACGGGATATGCATATGTATCAATAACTTTGATAACATTCCTTTTAGGGTCGATTTAACCTTAGATTAAATGGGTACACGAGATACGCAGGTCTCTTTATATTTTTTACAATCGTGACTAACAATTGTCTTTCAGATTCTTGTGGTTACCCATGCAGTGATGTTTCATCTCCAATACACTCAGATTCGGGATATAGCGATTTTTCTCATTCGATAAACAGTGAACCAGAGACATATATGAGTGAATTGTGGCCAGTTGATAATACTGTGTCTATAGACAGTACTTCAAATGATGAATATTTATATCATCACGCTAAAACTGAAGACGTTTTTAACATTCCGAAAATGATCAATATTCCTACAGTTTGGGAGTCAGATTCGGATTCGGGAGATTCGATAGAAGAAAAACCAGCTCGAAAAAAACCAGGACGAAAGAAGGGTCAAGGTAATTTGTTAATTTATTTATAATTAATGCAGTATGGACAGAGAATGTTGGATGCTATCAGGTTCGCCAACTTGGTCATTCCCTTTGAAGAGATGTAGAATGGCAAATGAAAGTTAATGTATTTAACGTCCGACTTTTATGCATTTGGTAGGGCTAATGAAGAAGACTACTATCTAAAAAATAATATTTTTCAGTTTCAAAAGTTTTACATCTGTGGGAGTTCATTCGTGACCTTCTTAAAGACCCTAACTACTCCGGTCGCATTATCAAGTGGGAAGACAAATCAAGTGGCATTTTCCGAATCGTCAAATCTTCGGAAGTGGCTGATCTATGGGGACAGAAGAAGAAAAATAAACGAATAATGACTTATGAAAAGATGAGCAGGTCATTAAGGTATGGTTTTAACTTAAATTTATCGCTTACCTCAGCAACAAACTTAGCTTTACTGTAGAGCCTTGGAAAGAGCACACTAACAATATTTTAGCTGAATGATAAAGGTATAGCATTAAAATGCTTCAAAATTATTAGTTTGATAAATTCTTTGCTTAACTGAGAAAGACTTATACTTGTGGAATCCAATTTTAAAGTTAAAATTTTGTTTAGTAGACGATTGAGATGAGATTGAAAATTTCACAAACACAATAAAAGGGAGATAATTTTGATTGTTTCTAACATTTCAGATATTCAAGAAAGGAAGGTTATTTTGGTGCTGTTCCGAAAGAGAAGCGATACCCCAAAAAGCTTTGTTTTAAATTCGGACCAAAGTCAACAGGATGGCAGTAAAAGATTAGTTTGCCATCTGCCATACTCCATTTATCAGATTTCCTACGGACTATAGACATAGGCACTGAAAGTGTAGGTGTAAAGGTTTCGTAGGTCCTCGTGTTGAATAGTGCTATTTCAATGAAAGAACTTCTTTTACGAAGTGCAATGTAAACGAAATGTTCGTGAAGACTAGATTGTGTAAAGACTTTCATTAGACAGTGCAACTGATTGACATACCATGAAAATATTTCAATTAATTTCACAGTTTCATCATCAAACCGGTGTGCAACTCAATAATCAGAAATGTATATCAACCGTTTCTGAGACTGTAATATTGCATAATATGCTCATTGTGTACATATTCAAATCATTTTTCTATTATTAATCATGTTTGATCAAAGTTAGAATCATATTTACTCGAAGTATTATTGAATAATATATTTATCATATATCATCTGGAACATATTTTAAACGCAACGATTTTAACTTATTATCGTCCAATTTTTGCTCTTATATGATTATATGAGATTGGACACAGCTAGCTTTTAGATGGACGTCGTCTTTGCTCAGAGATTTAGCTCAATAGATGACGAGAAACAACATATTTATAATAGAACTAACGTCGGATTTTATTTTAAAAAACAATCTCAGATAAAGTTAGCTTTTAATTCCTGATGATAAAACTTATCGCTTGTCGCCACGCTTGTTTTTTTTTTTAAACCTTTCGTTCTTTCTCTAGAAACTAGATTGTTATTGTCCAGTTGTGTTTTTAAAAGCATTTTTTGTTCAATATGTCTGCCTCAATATTTCGGTATAATTTTAGTCGTTGGAGATAAAAAATTAAAGATATTTATATTTGGAATAGCCTGCCGAAAAAAGTTATTTTTGTAATAAATATACTTATCATTTTTCTCTGATTCGTTTACACACGTGACAATATATATATATATTCTGTATACACTATTCATTTGTTTAACTTATTTCATCACATTCCACATTTTTATATTCTTTGTAATAATACTTGAGTTTTTTCACAAATTTGAAGTTGTTTTTATTAACTTTTTGTAATAAATTATGCAACCCGCCCCCAATTCGAGCAATCTTAGCTATTTCGCCCCCCACCTCCCTCTTCGAACCTAAACCTGGCTCCGCCTCTGACAATGTATCTTGATAATATTAATATATAGCAAGTGATCGATCAACATGCTCATGCCATGTCGTACAATACTGTGAGTCAATGTAGCTAATACATGTACTTGGAACTTTCCTTTGTTGACCTTGCTATGGATGGAGGTAGAAAAAATCCAACACTTCCCTAGACTTATAGGAGTCATTTCACAAATTATGAAGATTGTTACACCGTTCAACTTGAGGATTTCAGCGTAATGGTTGACACATTAATCAGTCAAATTGTCACCCAATACTGCAGACCAACTTCATCTACAAGAAATTCTGAAGATAGACAGCACATAACTATATGATCTCTCAAACAGAAAAACATCCAGAAAACCGATAAGAAAAACCTCATGTGGGTACCACATCTGCGGCTTGTAAAGGAATAATTAAGTAAATGGTTCCTTTATACTTATAGAAACATATTCACCATCCGTTTGATCTATCGTACGATCTAATCAAAGCTCACCGTCCAAATTTGAGCCTTTAAATCCATATGTGTCCAAAATCATCCCATTGAAAGTTAAAATGACAACTCGTCTTTTATTGAGAAATATATAGAAATAGAAAGTGAAATTCCAAATTCGAGATATTTTCAATTTGTACATTACTAACACTTCTAACTATCTATCTATATTCCAAGACCCAAATCATCCCCCAAAAATGTCATTTTGCCTTTCTCGATATAAGCCTAAAACTGAAGATCTCACTTTAAGGAAAACTAGAAAATTTCAACACTTTTTATTTAGTAATAGTTTCGGTTTGAAATAGTTCTGGTACATTATGAATGATAATTGAAAGAAAAAAATAACGACAATAACATGACGATAAACCCGTACTGAAGACTGCTGGCCTTTCCACCTAAAATAAATAGACAAGTTATGAATTAAAGTGGCATGGATTGGTAGTTCCGGATCAAATATTTGTACTGTTGTCGTTAATACGTGACATGTAACTTCTTAAAATCGATCCTATTCTCATTGTTAATTGTCATTATAATTGAAGAATGCACTATAAGAATGATATACAGTATTTCGAAACTGATTGACAGTTAAAAGACCCTTCTACATATCTTTACGTATAAATTTGCCGAAATGCCCATTTCTTTGGTAGTACGTTTATTTTCCAAATTTGTATACTTACCTTGGTCTTTTGATTTACCTGTAAAAATAAATTCAGAACATTATTTAATAAATGTAAATGATTTAACATTACACAGCTCAGTTGTTATGACTCACATGGTGATTTTATGCACAATTAAGAATACTATAAGGAGCATTGCTTCACCTATATCATTGTGAGTTATCCAATGGTTTTTTCGATAACATGACTCAAAAGTTAGTCAGTCAAACCTTTACCAGTGGGCCAATGCACTATGAAAAACACCGAGAACAGATTTGGCTTTATTGTAAATACGTCCAAGTACAATACCGTGATTATAATTGTTAAGTCTACGGCGATAAAACTGTTTCAAAATTCACATTGCGTGGGTAGTGCGTTTAAGAAATTTTGATAGGTGCAAAACTTCTTTAATCTTGCGAATTTGTATACTTACGTTGGTCTTTTGATTTGCCTGTTAAAATAAGATGAGATAATATATGAAATGATTTAAAATAATATAATACAGATAAGTTGTTATGACTCACAGAGTTATTTTATACACAATAATTATCATACCATAAGGGTAATTGCTTCACCTATATCATTGTGAGTTATTCAATAAGTTTTATTAATAATATTATCAAAAAGTTCGGTGAAACTTCACCAGTGGGTCAAGGCACTACGGAAAACACAGAGAACCAAAGTCTTCGGAAAGTGTTTTTGCAAGGTTGAAATTACTGAACTATTCTCCTTTAAAACATCAAGTCTGAGAAATCTACAACATTGATGGGCAAGTGGTTAAATTCTGTTCAATTCGCGAGAAGATAATTTTATACGGATTCCTGAATTTAGAACCAGTGCATTGAAACTGTCTCAATTTCAAATGCAAATGAATACTGTATTTAAGCGCCCTTTACTCAAAAACTAAAATTTGGATAAAGACCAATTTGGCAAATAATCTCTCCTAATATGAGCTATAACTTACCCTCGTTAGTTTCATTCAAGTCATCGGAAGGAAGTTCAGTTTCCACAACTGTTTCAATCTTTGCTGAAAATTAATTTAACTTAAAAAGTTTTCGTAAACATAACACAAATATAAGAAGCAAACTTCGCAAAGGACAGAATCCACCACAATTTTTCAAATGCAAAAGATTTGTACCAAGCGTTTTCTTTCATTCCTCGCTTTTTCATTTATGATTATCAGAAAAAGAACAGAAACATCATGAAGTTTGTTGGACATAAGCCGAATCACAAGAATTACTCACGAACTGTGCAGGTATCGGCTACATTTCTTTTCAAATCTTCCGTTGCTTTTAATAAGCTAGTTTTCTTTTCTGGTGAAATATTAGGACATCCGTTTCTTTCTATCACACCGTTTATACAATCAACAGATGACCCAACATAACTATAATTTACAAGACATTTCTTCAGTATATCACATCCAGAATTAAAACATAATGGAATTTTAATCCCTAACCCACTTTCAGTTGAGATTTGGTTAATGACATTGACACACTGTGCAGTGTACAATGTGGCTTAATCCGCCTACACATTGTATTACAGGTTTTTGAGTAAGCAATCACGCACCTAGGCCACACGAATGATAAAAACTTTTTGTGAACATGTAAGCTTACATGATGGGATATGACATAAAAAAAATAGTTTACTCACCCACACCAAAATGTGGCATTTGTCATTTGTAAAGGATCACTCATGGTAAAATTAACATTCATTTGACACATCATGACTGCACGACAATTTCTTATTGTTTTATCTTCAGTCACTATGGACGAGAATCATTAATTCATTAGATAAATAAGTATTAAGACCATCGACATCCTAGAGTGAATTTTCATAATTCGTCTTACAATACACAGGTTCATAAAAATGATATGAACTCGTAGCACAGGTTAATAACTATGAAAATTAGGTCATATATTCATGCACCATTTTAACAGAACAACGTTGCATCCTTTGAAGTTGATGACAACGTTAGAATTGAATGTAAAGGGCACGAAATTGTTCCAAAGTACATGATTTTGATTAGAAATTTCAGTTATGCACATGGCCGTTTTATAGAAAGGTGTAAAAAGGCTGACCACAAAATGAAGACCATTCGTTGTCGGATTAAAAATTAAATCTGGCAACTCATTTCGTATTTCATATAACATAAGCACTATATGTATGGAATGAATGGAATGAAAATCTAAACCATTAAGGTTCTTCTGATAAATTTATTATCTATACCTAAATCGCAACCATGTATCGAAACCATTGCAGCAAAAGTTTTATTAAATCTAAAAACCCAGACACGTTTCCTTTTTACCCTTAGGACCCAATCAAACAAATCTATAACACTTACATTGACTACAATAACCTTTACCAACTGTTGCTACCTTTTGAACGGTTACTCCATTTTCACTTATATTGCATGTTTTTAATGCATTTTCTACACAAGGAAATAAAGTATCAACAGTCTTCCTGTAATAAAATTAGAAGACATGAAACATCGCCTTTTTCAGAAAAAGTTGCAAAGAAAAATGATCTGCAGTAAATTTAAATTAAATCTTTACAGTAACCTCCCTTTGATATCATGTTTATTATCGCGCTAAAAGCATAGCGTACCTACAAGATTGCTTTTGTTGGTATTTAAGAAAATACCTCAGGCCAATTTTATTTCCAAACTTCCACTTAGAAAAAAATATCGAAGAATACTATACAGCAGATCGAGACTATTAGATAGATCCTCTCCCAATTTCTAAATTTAGTTTTTGACACACCATAAGTCTATAGGCATACTAGGAATAAAACCCTCCCTTATCAAAAATTTAATCGAGCAAATATCAAGATTATGGATGAAAGAAGTGTATCGCGGTAAAGAGGAAATTGTGAAAGCTGAAGAATTGGCTTTTGATATCAATGAAAACATGATAACGAAATTATATCCAGGTCTGTCGTTAATCTATTTAAAAGTCAAGTCTGATGCCGGGAGAGGGGTAATATAGGCGAAAGCCTGTTCCTTTTCTCTATGAATAAATATTGTTTACCAAAAACAAAAGTCAAGTCTGAACCAACTTCATTGTTGTATCAACTGAGCAATATATACGTATTTGATAAATTGTGCTACAACACCTCCTTGACATAACATAATGATTTAACCTACGTGCACATGCTTGAGGCAGTTCTTGACATTTTTTGTTGAATAAAACTACTCATATACATCTTGGTACAATCCTCGAGTGGTTTACAAGCAAAATGTTGCCGATTTTCTACAAAATAAGAGAAAACTTACTGCAATTATTTTAATGGTAGATGTTTAAACATGTGAAACAATGAACACAACTTATTTCGGAAATGTCCGCATCCTAATAGATCATTTACATTAACATACGATTTTTATTCAATATAATGGATGCAAATAAGACAAACCTTTAGCACATCTGTACGAATACTGTCTTTGAATTTGTTCAACACCAGCTAATGCTTTTCCCAGATAGTAAAGACATTCACTTGGAATTTTAGCAGTGCATTTACCTATACCATTGACTGATCTATAATTCATATAAGGCATTATCATCACTATGGTTATACCTATCTATGTTTAAGCGCATTGTCATTTAATAGAGAATTAAAAAGGATTTCAATTTGAAAAGGTAAATGTATAAGTATTTTGGGAAACGGAAATATTACTACATATCCGATATTGATGGCCTTTTACAGGAAGTAATGTATTTTTTTAATGGAATACCTCTTAGGATGAACATTTTTCAATTAAGACCAAAAAGAGTATAAAGGCATTCTCTCTATAAATCTATCGATTAAAGTAATTGTACATACGACTACAGGAAATATTGTTTTCATTAGTCATTTACTAGGAAGTTTTGTTTTGTTAAAACACCAGGTCCACTGATGATAACATATTCTTACCGGTCAGGTTTGAGAATTTTGTATTTCACTTTATTTAAAAGGGTAAAATTGCACCCTTATTAGCTATGCCGACAGTTAGTATGTTGAACTGACAAGTATAAAAATACTTGAAATATATAAACTGTGTCTTACTCGCATAGTCCCACAAAATTTTGTGATTGTCTTGCTACACTAAATGATGCATTAAATGGCCTATGACATTCATCAAATAATTTCATACATCGGCTTGCTGTTTTACCACTATCTAGATATACAGAGATAAAAATATTAATTTGCATTTTGCTGGTCATACTTTCAACACTGAAATAATGTCCAATCATGATTCCGCTCACCACATCTGCTGATACTAGAGTTGAAGAAGATTGGAACCGAATAGCATGGCAAGCACATTATGGCATATGAATATATTACTATATACATATATAGATATATTACATTATGTACATGTCGTGATTTTCAAACGACCTTATCATTAGTATCAAGTGAGAGAATTAGGAGTTCTCGCCCTGTAATTGCCCTTTTTTCTCCCTTTTCGGCAATATTGTAAAAATAATATACTATACTAAAATGTACGATTTTGGTACCATACCTTGGCCACACAATGCAGAATGTCGATAATTGGTTTGCTGCATTCCCCTTTCTATTTGGGGGGCATATTGCTGGCAATTGTCAGCCTTTATCACAGCCGTCACACATCTTGTATAATCTTCAAAACCTCTGAAAGAAAATATGAATGAATACATTGCATGAGTAATCGCTAATCTGTATCCTTATGATAAATATACCAAACAAACGATATTATACTCTACAAATTTTTCGATTTGTAGATTAACATCAGGTGTTCGTGAAGGGTGAGCATACCCATCACCAATGTTTAGTAAATGAACCTTCATTGAACATTGATGTATGATCTTTTGTGTCATCCTTGTATGAAATACCATGAAATATTGTATTATACTCTTACCATCCTTACAAGAGAAGACTGCTATTGTGCAAAACATAATATTGCGTATGATGCTTTTTGAAATTAATTGTTACGTTTTGCACCTTTTCAAAGCTTAATTGTCTTAAAACGACGTTTTTTATTGGTTATTACTCACTTGCACATCCTTTCTATATCTTTATTGACTTCCACGGTATCAACTACATCACCGTGTTTATCGTAACAGTCCAACGTCTGGTTAAAACATAACATGGCATTTTGTCCATTAACTCTCCCACTCGCGTCTAAATTGAAATATTTAATTGTTATTTTTAAATTGTCAGTGATGCAGGTTGTATACCTGACATCTACCGAGGCCCAGTGTGCTACAGACTGTGCACGTTAAAGATCCCTCGAAAGTTGGAAATCCAAAAGGAGCAGACTAATGCCACACTCCTGGCAAAATTTCCTTCATGCCGTAGCCCAATTAGGTGCAGAAAAGTAGAACGCAACATTGGTCCCAATTTCCAGGTTGTTTTGCTATATGAACTCTCCAAAGGTGATGCCAAGTGACATACAGTCGGCGAACATGTAACTATCGAAGGTAGTGTACTCCGTAAAGATGTGTTCATAAGATAATATTTCATTTTACTGTGGTACACCTATTCTTGTCAATTTTCATAATTTTTTTGAGTACCAACCCGGAGCACACATTTTAGCTAAATGATTTCTTGTTGCTTCTAATTTAGTAGCAGCAAATCCCATATATTGGCTACAATCAGATGATATCATCAACTCTTCGGTACAGTTTGTGTAATAATCTAAACCGCTGAAAATAAACCATAATCATCGTCAGATAACAACTTCGAGTAGTGGTGGGTGGTGAACAATATTTAACGACTTTTGTCTGCTCACAGTCATACTTGGCTACTTGCGTTCCCAAATGACTGAACGGTTATATCCCATTAGTTAGTACTTCAATTTAATTAGGACTGAACAATTACACCTATATGTATATTCCCTCTTTGCCTTACTTAGCATGTCAAGATAAAGATATTACCTGCATATGGCGACTGGATCAATATTAGTTTGAGACATTAACACTCTTATATTCGAAGTTTGGTAGCACTGAGTTGCCTTATTCGTACATTCAATTGCTCGACCTACTATTTCTGAGGCATCTGAAAGGATATATTCATTGATTCAAGGGGAAATTAATTTACGATGATTTGTGTTCTATCACATACTTAGCTGTACCTTAATTAGTACATATGGAATTAAATGGTGACCGGTCTCCTTCATGACTATTTTTCTTCTTTGAGGTTCTATAGCACCGTCGGTTAGAGCGTCTGTGGGTTCAATTCTCGATCAGCCTGTGAAAGTTCGATGACCTTGAATAAGTCATCTTCACTCATAATTCCAGTCGACCAAGCTGTAAATGGGTATGGATAATCCGGGAAAGATCAATACCAAAAGGTTTCTCCAAGTACCCGCTGTTAGAAATGAACCTTAACTGTGAAAGTGTCAAATATAGTTGCTTCTTTTTCTTTCTTTTCTTAAAAGATCTTTGTACTGAAAATTCCTCACGTGGAATTTGTTTTTAAATTTGACTGCAAACTGATCAAAAGCACACTGCGCTGGCTTATATTAGCTTACAGTTTCTAGGAATTTCTTAGAATGTTCAGTATAGAGAAAGGATAACTGTTAGAGGTTTAAATCTATTCTCAACGCTGCTTTAATACTGAGAAATTAAACTGGAATAGCTTATACTCACTTTCTCTGCAAGTCGTATTATAGTTTTGATCGACAGATTGAATGGTCGATAACAACATAGGTTTTGAACTTGTTTCACATTTCACCATTAACTGCTTCATGCAATTAGAATATTCTTTGACTGCACTGGAATTACGAAAGAATTTTTGAGGATATTATTATATTATTGAAAAACCAGCATGTAGTGATTTCATAATCTATTGTGATCTATAAAGTTTTTACCATAAAAATATAAAGAAAAATCTGACTGAGACCTTTAGTGGACTTGTCAACTTAAGCTGTTATCCAAAATATGTGTTGCAGTGCTGAGCCAAGCGCCAGCTGAAGAACTGAAAATTACTTACGAACAGCTGGTATTAGCCACTACATCAAGATCTGTTGAACGAGCAGCTTCTGACATCTTTTGGTTAAATGCAATAGTGCATGACTCAAAACACCCGTAAACAACTTGACTTGATAATACTGTCACTGAAATTCGTAGAGTTTTTTAATCACTATTTTGGTACATGCTATGACATCAATACAATGTGACATTTCTTTATTAAGTTATATAAATACAGTCGAACTTGTATTAAGAATGCGGTCTATTGAATGCTCAAAAGTGGCTGCTTGCTATACACGATGGTGCTTAGCAGGAGTTTGGTGCACACAGATCAGAATAACAAGTTGATCTTTTGTAATTACATGCATTTACTAACAATTGCAATAGCCTTAATAATTAAAATAGCATCACTGATGTTCAACATTAAAGAGACCTTTAAGGCAAGTTATATATTTACACTATTGACAATTCTGCTTATTAGAGACTGACATGTATTCACGGTCAAGAACTGTCTTGGCTGTGTCAAGAGTGTGGTGTTTAATAGAGGTACATTTGATTGAAAATTGCATCCGGGGAATTTTTGGTGGGTGGTGCTGAATACAAGTGGCCGTTAGTACAAGTTTGAATGAATGTATAATTATTCAAATATATCAAAGATCTAAAAGATAAATAATTATTGTCCAATTTACTCACCTAAAACAATAAATATTCCACTTAATGCCATGATGGTAGCTGTGTAAGTTAATTTGTGGATTTCAATGAATCTGACAAATGCAAGGAAAGCTGAAAAGGGATGTATAAGGAATGTAATATATTTACAATGTCTTCATACAAATAATTAAACTGGCAAATTTTGTTGATCATCTTAAAATTATCGGCAATATAATTTATTTAAAGATGGATTTCCTCATTTTTAGTGTCAAACTATTTGTTTAATTGGTGTTTTTAATGAATTATCATATATTCTTAATCATATCATTTTATTCTCATTGCAAGAGTAAGTAAGAGTTTAAACCATCATTACAGTACTTGTATTTACAGTCAGGATAAACAAAAGACTTTTTGACCTTTCTTGATCGGTCACTCATTGGAATTCTGCTGGTAATTCTCTTCTAATTTAGCTAATTAAGGACATGTGAGACAAACTGGTATTTTTCCAAGTCATTAGAAAACCTTTACCTTTTATTTATATAAGTATTAGATTTTCATTTTCATAAATGAAAATAGGGGAATCCATCTTTAATATATAAATCTGTCACATGATTGTGATGTTCGTTCTGGCTTGACGTTTTGTATGATTACAAATACCATTACCCAACTTGCTTGGTCAGATTTTTCTGAATCATAGGATGAGCACAAAAACCATTTGATATCGTGAGATTATTCAAGGGAAGCTGTCAAATATAATTAATCGCTTGGACATGCATACACTCATCTGTAATTCTATGCTTGATATACCAGTAATATTATAAATAAAACTCAGAGTAATAACATGTTTCAGGTTTTGTTGTAATATTTCGAATATCTGTAGAACTGTTACTAATAATCTTTAAAACTTTTCACTTTATGATGCCGGTTATTGTTTAACCAAAATATTTCTATGTGATTTCTGCACTTTTAATATTCTGGGTAAGTTATTTATCTTGTTGAAAAGATACGTAATCCTATGAAACATTTAAAAAGTAAACATGAAACGAAATTTGTTTGAAGTCGTTTTATTTATCTTTATTTATTTTTTGATCTTGTTGCCCCTTTCGACCTCTTACTGCTTCTCTTTCATAGCATTTTATTTTTCTCAAGAAACCAAGACTCAAAAAAGGTATGCGTTTTGATTTATAAAAAAAATAATTTCGACTTATGTTCGTCCGTCTCGACCTAGTCATTATGGTCATTTTAAACACCTAATAAATGACCTAAATAAATATCGTCGTCATACAAGTCATCTAGCCGGATGATCCACTCTCAAACTATACATTACTCACTTGATGTGAACTAGCTGGTTTTGGACACATGTATCTGTCAAAGTGAAGGATGAAATGAAAATGTAAAGTCATTTTTGAGAAGATAGTCAATTATGTTTATAAAGATGAATATTTCAGGTTCAGATAGGCCTAATTTGCGTATCATTGGTGTTACATAGCAAATTTCGATAGACTTTAGTTTAAACAGCTCATTGTAAAATAATACTGGTAAAGCAGCTTCAGAAATTGGGTATTATCAATGATAGATTGATAGCAGTTGGTTAGATTAATTTTATACTTGACATGTCATAGCCAAAAGTATTGAACTACATTAATCAGAAATTGTTTTTCACATACAATGACGTTATTGTTTATAATGATGTATCGTTAATGAATAAGTAATGGTATGAGTGGATAAGGAAAGAATATTCGTTTAAACGGTTTTTCAATGTCAACTGAGCGAAATTTATTTGCGTGGTGAAATATCATATGCAGAGAAAAGAAATTGGGTGTCAAATTTTCGATCAATAATTATTTGACTTTAATAATTAAAATGTAAGTGATTTGTATTGATAAAAAAATTATTGTTTATGTGTAGAAATTTGGTAAAATATACTTTATTTAACTTCTTGTAACAACCTTATTACGTCAAGATTCATAAATATTTATGTATTCAAATCCACTTCCCATCATTCAAGAAGATAGATTTATGAGCCCCCTTTTTTTTATCAATATATCAAATTTGTACACAAATTTTTTAGATATGAGATAACTAAATGTAGTCTGAAAACAAACTTTTGAAACCATATCATAGGCTTTGTTTGATATGGGTAAGGCTGTTTATTCCGTTTGGTAATGGATTGGATACGGGAAAGGCTGTATTTCCAATGAGTGCACAACGGATCTCACAATCTGTCCCGCACAGCTCTATACTAGGTACGATTAAATCCTTTACGGAATACTGGAGTTCCAGTGAACTCACAAGAAACACATAGATAAGGCCTTGTGAAGGGAACAACATGTTAATTATGATATAGAGCAGCGTCAATTATTTATTCCAATAAATGTAAAAAATAAAGACAAATCTTTTGGATAAGTATGTCAAAATTTCTTTAATGACGGCTTTCTTAAAGCACCGGACTGAATTAATTTGGTTGGAAAAGGTACTCAAATTAATGAAAACTAGAGACCAAAATTTAGAGAAATGCACTCCTTACATAATCTTAATGTTTTCGATAAAAAATATTTTGCCCATCTTTGAAAGTCTCTATATTTTTCGATGGTGATAGATTTAAGATAAATGAAGATCAAATAGTACAGAAATATGGCTTCTACTTTTCTGAAGGTTTCATCTAAAATATCATCCAGCCTTTTTTAATGATGTATAGAAGTAAAATTTTGAAATCTTTCAACGTATAAATTACAGTATTTCTAATGATGCCATAATGCCTCTTATTATCAATTGCGAAATGTTTCGAAATACAACATAATAAAAAAAAGCTATAAAATATCTCTTATGATATTTTGAAAATATTCAAACGATAACTGCCATCATATAAAAATAACCTACCCCGATATAGGTATCCAAATTATGAAATCGTATGTTACAATGGTCCAAGGTAATTTCGAATGAGTAATTAAATGTTAACTAGTAAACTATCATGAATGTCATTGGATAGAAAACTTGTTATATTTGGTTTACCTGGTTTTTGATGTTATATACCATTAATTGTCACCCATCAACATAGGGTTTGCCTTAGACATCACTCACCTAAACATCAGTCAATGTCATGCCTTAAATTTATTATATTTCTTAACTCGTATTTTATGAATTATGTACAAGTGTTTACTGATGAATTACAAGATATTCGCATTTATAATTTATGCTTTCACCTGATACGACATTTTAACTTCAATTTTTTTTATATTAATTTAACCTCAAGACTTGGGTTCTTCTGTATTGTAACTTGTATTGTAATTTATTACCTTTAGGAGTTCGAGAACATTAACCCTAATAGCATTAACCTTGTTTCGGAAGAATCTAATCTTTTAAAAAAATACTACCTCTGAGGATGAACTTCAAAATTATTATCTTTGCCAAAATGAGTCTAAATTCATCAGTGGACTTTCCTGTTTTCATAAATATATAACAGAATGCTAGCATATACATTTTCTCCTGTTACATCCGCTGTACATTCCCTTTCTAACCTCAAGTTATTTTCATTATGCTCCCCCACTACAACAACCACTGACAAGAAGCCAGACAAAGAAACACTAATCGTCAACAAACCAATATCACGTACCATACAACGGCCCCGTCTTCCATCGACCTCTACCACCTACCAATCGCTAACCACCCACCAACCCATCCAGCTATATCCCACCCCATCGCCGACCTACCTACAACACAGCCTACCAATCCAGAGGTAACCATCGACCTGACCAACAACAGAAACGACTACCAGCCCACCGACGCCAACCAGTCCCCACTCATAAGGAGGAAGAACCCTTTGTGAAGGTGTTCTTCCACGTTTTGCAGTGCCTCCATCACTTCTACCTCTTAGGATGACCAGAAGTTCAAAATTATTATCTTTGCCAAAATGAGTTTAAATTCATCAGTGGACTTTCCTGTTTTCATAAATATATAACAGAATGCCTCTATAATCTGATAAATCCATTAAAAACTATAAACAATAAAAACTACAGGTTATTATTGAAAACGCTTATGCTCAGTTCACACCAACGGCGCTTTGATGGCGCTTTAAAGCGGCGTACAAAGCGGTACCAAAGCGTAACAAAGCTCGACTAAAGCGCCAGCGTAATAGATCGTTGGAAAGCTTTGAGCAAAGCTGGATATTCGGCAAGAGCGCCAAAAAATTTTAAACTGTTTAAAAATTTTGGGCGCTCTGTCACGAATTTATTAAAGCGCCGAGAACGTATCAAAGCTTAACAAAGCGTAACAAAGTTCAGCAAAGCTTGACTCAAAGCGTAGGAAAGCTTAACAGAGCTTTATTCAAAGCGGGGACCCCAGTCTTCACGGTCTGTCACCACTTGATCAAAAGCGGCATGAAATCGGACATTTCGGAATTTTCAAATGCGTAACAGAGCTTAACAATGCACAACAGAGCTTGATAATCGTATCAGAGCGTGATTTAAAGCGTCATTACCGCATCAAAGCTTAATAAAGCTTATCAAAGCGTGATTTAAAGCGTAGCAAGGCCTGATCAAATCGGGAAATAATTCGTCCCAAAAGCCTAACCAATTCGCATCATAGCTTATCAGAGCGTAACATTACTTAGGAGATCGTGATATTTTTGGAAAAGTAAACAAAAAATGATGGCGCTTTGGTCGCCGATTTAAAGCGCGGCATTCGCCGTTGGTGTGAACTAGGCATTAATAATTTTAAGAATTCAATAATTACTATGCTTTAATAGATTTATCGTCATATACAGGAATTCCGCTGTCATATTTATCAGTCAACTGATTTATTAACTCTTGTTGGCCAAGTAATAGACTTTAAATTTTATGTCCATTCTAAGACGTTCGGCAATATATTAGGTCATATTCTTGACAATATTTAACACTAGTATCGTGCTTTGATAAATTAAAATGTGCTAAAATTGCAAGCCTTTCACCCCTTTCGGTGCTACCTTTAACTGTCAATAGAACTAAATATTTCAGGAAGGAAAGTGGTATTCGGTAAACTATGGTGCTGTTGTTTTTCTTAGCATTTGGTGACTTGGTAAATATTATTATATCGAAAACCGGTTCGTTTACTATAAATATATATCACTTATGCAAGTTCTATAACTTGTACTCTACTATTTCAAGTTCCATCTACTAATTCCTCTCTTTGTGATCTAACCCTTACCACCCTCTTTTCTTTTATACATCTCTACACCAACAAAACAACCTACCTATGATAGCAGTCAGTTCAAGCCGCCAGCAAAACCCCCGTCATCCAAGACACAAACCAAACCGACCTCCCACTTATATCACCATTTCCTGCAAAAGCGTTGTCCAAAGAAAACTTTCGAGGGAAGCCTAGAAGTACCTTAAACCTTAAACGCGACAATGCTGCCATCCTATAAACCTGATGATACAGTAAAATTGTATCAAGAATCATATCAAGTAAGTCTTTTTACTATATAATACAGAAATGTCGCGATAACATAAAGCATCAAACTTCTCACACCAATTCAACATTCAATCCCAATACAGTACCCTGATAATCTTCAACTATATGTTAAACGAGGTCAACGAAACTTCATCCCAAGAATCCCAAATCCACGAAACAATTGTTATCAAAAAGAGTAATAAGGTTCATTTTGTTCATATTTATGTTTTTGGTTATTTTTCAGAAGTTTAGATCAACCGAATAATCTTTAGCATTGCGCCAAAACAGTTTCTCCTATTATCAACAAAAATCTTGGCAAAGCAAGCTACCTTTGACTTGACCAACTTCTTCCAGTCTGCGAAACCCGATCGTCGAGGGAGACGTTTATACATTATACATGTTTGACTAAGATCAATAAGGAATAGTTTGTTCCTAAATAGACATCTAATCTTTGTCCGATTTTATCAGACTGTTTTGCTGAGTTCGTGATTAGTGTCAGCTCAACTATGCAAACCTCTTTTTACGCGAGATATTCCGCATGATTTAGTATAGTTTAAAATTTGCATTTTTGCATGAAATTCCAGTTTTATATATAACAATGGATGAATTGCCGTCTTAAAATGTTTTGTGGCTGGAGCGGATCAATTGAGGATGATGGTCGAGTATGGACTGTATAGTGAAATGCGAAAATCACACTATCATAATATCCTAGTCCTAAATAGCCTTAAAATTTATTTTCTTTTGAATTTTTCTACAATGACTATTCATATTAATGCTTGTTATTTTCTTATAGATACATGAAAAGATTTTACTTCACAATACAGGTTTTATCTTTAGATGATTATTGATATATTAGAAGAATGTTGACTCTTATATTTTTAGCTATTTCAGCAGAAATGATACTACCAAAGATAGTATTACAGAGAAATCCTTAGTTAACATGGCTAATTATCTTAACTTTTAACTTTCACCTTGTTTTATCATAAATTTTTACTTTGTGACTTAGGCCAGTGCTTTCATGAGACTATGTTCTCATCACCATCTAACACCATCAACATGAACGTTTTATCTATTAAGTTCGAATAATAAAAAAAACACAGATACACTACGAATCTAAGATATAACGGAACAAGTGGTTGCCTAGCAAAATACTTTCCTGATACATTTTCAGTGTATCAAGGACATCATACCAAAAATCTAATTTGTGCAAGATATTGTTGATTTAAACAATCACATATTATTTAATAAAATTCTGACATAAACAGTCACCTCATTATAATGTGGGCGTATAAAAAACCTTCCCGACCCCAACCGTTCATTTGAATATTGATCCAATATTGTGGTCAGACCTGATAGAGGCGCCGTGAATGTTTAGTCCATATTCTATGAAAGCTTACAAAAGTAAGAACTTTATAAATAGATCTATTCCCTGGAAATAGACTCGAGAACTATTAAAGACAATACGCCTTCATTTCAGAAATGCTTAATGTTATTGTTGACTTCTTCTCACTGTAGTGAATGTGAGTGACTTTAAATCTCTAGCCTACGCTCGCACTTATTTCATTTTGTAGTACTTTGTGTATTTTTTCTACATGTATCTAATTTATTCTAAGATATCCCATGCCCAGTTATGAGATTCTGCGAGAGAAATTCCCCCATGTCTATAAACAAAAGATGATTGTCGCATGTTCAAAAAGACCAGAACTTAAATGACTACCTTGTTCATTAGTATGTAACAATATAACCATCAGCCATGGGTTTCCCTCCATAAGGAAACTGTGCCCGTTATACCTGTCTAGCGGGGTATTTGAAATGGCCATTCAGGTGTGAAGAAATTAGTTTGAGTTGATTTGAGTCTTCAAATATACCTTTGGTACCAGAAATGTATGGAAATAAGAACTTATATGATAATATTGTTCATAGTAAACTAAAAACAATCAGTACATAACAGATACTAGCAAAACCAGTATCGGGACCCTTAATTCCAATTTCTAAATAAAGTATCTGTTCCATCTTTCATCTTCACTCATAATTCCAGTCAACCCAGCTGTAAATGGGTACGGATAATCCGGGAAAGATCAAGGTTGTCTAATGTCAGGTAGTAATAGAAACCTCTGTGTAAATGGCTGATCACTAAAAGTTTTACTAATGTTTGATGGTTTTTCTCTCACTCATGAATATCGATTATCGTGAACAAAAATAAGTAATATGCAGAGCTCCATTCCAAATGAGTGCTTCGAATAATAAAGTAAGAAAAATTAACATTGATTTAAATTTAATACTCAGAATTCCCCTTATGTCTATAAGCAGAAATGATAGTTGCATATTCATAAAATAAGAACTTAAATGATAATATTGTTCATATAGTCAAAACAAGTTATCTCAAACAGAAACAATATGACTATCTGTCTGCCAAACCTGATTGTCGCGAGAGACATTTGTACACTTTGCCTAAAATCCATAAGAATCCAACCAAGGAGTGGTTTATCTCGAATAAAATCCCTAAAGGCTGCCCGATTATATCTGACTGTGGTAGTGAGTCATATGCAGTGTCAGAATACATTGATCATTTCTTACTACCTCTAGCATGCCAACATCGCGCCTACCTTAAAGACACAACCGATTTTGTCAATAAAATAAAAAATCTTCGAGTTCCCTCTAATGCCATTTTAATTTCTATCGACGTTTCTTCTATGTATACCAATATCGATAACACTACTGGTTTAACGGCAGTTCGTAAAGCTTTTAATAGAAACCCAGATCCAAACAGACCCGACGATGCAATTCTACAGCTTTTAGAGATTTGTCTTAGTCGAAACGATTTCACATTTAATGGTAAAACATATTTACAAACTTCAGGGACAGCAATGGGCAAACGATTCGCCCCTCCGTACGCAAACCTTTTCATGGCAGAGTGGGAACGTGAGGTGTTGCCCCTCTGTCCATTTGACCCACTTTTTTACGGACGCTTTTTGGATGACATTTTTATGGTTTGGACTTATTCTATCGAACAGTTTTGGGAATTCTTTGAAATTCTCAACAACCACCATCCTTCTATCAAACTAACCGCAAACGTGAGTGACAAAAGCATAGACTTTCTCGATACCACAGTCTTTAAGGGAGATTCCATAGTAGAAACAAATAAACTGGATATTAAAGTGTATTTCAAAGAAACTGATACTCATCAACTCTTGCACAAGAGCTCCTTTCACCCAAAACATACCTTTTCTGGTATAATTAAGTCACAAGTTTTACGATTTCATCGAATTTGTACAAGATCTTCTGATTTCAACCAAGCCTGTACGATTGTTTTCTCAAAACTGAAAGAGCGTGGGTACTCTAAACGATTTTTACGAAACATAAAAAATTCCACCTTAGCACAGATAGCAGCTAAAAACAGACTTTATGCCGAAGTACCTCCAGGTTTAAGAAGTGCTCCATTTTTGTCCAGTAGATGCAAAACATGTCCCTTTATATCAGAAACTCATTATTTTGTAAGCAACTCTACGAATAAAAGGTATCCGATCCAGGAACATCTAACATGTGAACATTCGAATGTAATATATTTAATTTCATGCAAGAAATGCCCCAAACATTATGTAGGAGAAACTAAGAATAATTTACGAACTCGCTTTAATGCTCATAGGTCAGACATCAAATTAAAGAAAGACAAGCCTGTTTCTAATCATTTCAACCTCGACGACCATTCAATAGACGATCTCACCCTAATCCCAAATGAGCGTATAGAAATTGACTTGCCCGAAGATGAAACTACCAAATTCCGTCAATCTAGGGAGGCCCATTGGATTGAGACATTGAATACAGCAAGACCTATAGGACTAAATATTCATCATAATGTAGGCATAGCACCCCTTGTTGTCCCGTTTAATACAACCAGCAATCGAGCAAGCAAGATAGTTCATGCCCACTATAAGAGCCTTCAAGAGAAATTCCCCCATGTCTATAAGCAGAAAATGATAGTTGCATATTCAAAAAATAAGAACTTAAATGATAATATTGTTCATAGTAAACTAAAAACAATCAGTACATAACAGATACTATACTTCTCGCCCATCGGGCGAGTTATTTTTTCTAATTTCAGATCAGAATAAGAACAGAAGAAAACCCAATATCAAGACCCTTAATCCTAATTTCTAAATAAAGTGTCTGCTCCACCCTAGGCCTGTACATTTGGGAGAATCAAACCCTCCCTTCCCCGAAACCTAATTTCTAAATAAAGTGTCTGCTCCACCCTAGACCTGTACATTTGGGAGAATCAAACCCTCCCTTTCCCGAAATTCAAATAAGTTCAGTTTTCTTAAATTTAATTAAATAGATAGCTGTAAAAATTTTGAGAAAATTGTTTTTAAGTCAGCATCACTAATCTTGAGTTCGGTTGTTCTGGTAGAAGATAAAGGTTTGGGAAGTTCAGTAAGTTCATAAAATATACTATTCTTGTCTGCTTCATCTACATCCCCACCATCTTTAAACTGGTTGACATCCTGAGTTGTTTGGTGATTGAATTGGAATTTATATCTTCCAGTGTCAGTAGTAGAAAGCGCACGACCAATAATCCAATAATCATACTCTCTCCAGTATACAGCATACCAGTGCTCATTTACTATAGTTAGCATTCCACCAACCTGTTCTGTGGGTACATCATCAGCAGAGACAGCATCACAGTTACCATTTCCAAGAACGTAATGCCTTGTTTTTTCAGCAAGTACATATGTTTGAGTATCAATAACGTACTGTGCCACAGTGGTAACTCTATGTACTGAAATCATTTGAGGAACAGGAACTCGATTTATCCATGACATATCTAATTCTGTCTTGCTTGATCCGATATCTCCAGCTGGACAGTGCAATACTACAGTCTTAGTATTCAAAGAACTGGCTACATCTGCAAATTCTGTTGATGTTTGGACCTCACCTTTTCATGATTTGACATAAAGTGATACCTGCCTTTTGATGCGTCCACCAATACCATCCACTGGCCCTTTTCAGTGACGAAAGCGAAAGAACTCCATGTAATGTTTTTCTTGCATCAATGTATTTTTGCTTGAATTGACTAGATGGGCCATCAGAAAACTTCATCAAAACTCATGACACTATGAAGGTATTGAAGAATAATTTTGAGAAATGTGTGCACAGCATATTTATCAGGAGACAAATAATCAGACACAATCACAACGGATTGGACACCACTTTTGGCCCAGACACACACTGTGAATAGAGTTATTTGCTTATGAGCTCAATATGCCGACTGAATCTCATTTGGTGGAATTGAAGTTTAGTTTTCAGCAAAATCTACATTTTATCTCATTACGAAAAGCGTTTGCTTGAATCCTCTTTATGTAAGTGTGCCTCAAAAATCCCGGAGTTTGCAAAGTAAGTGCCTGCAAACAGTCAGCCAAAGTCCCTTTTAGTGTTCTTTTTTTCTGTCCGAAAACCATCAGAGCCCCACTGGAGCCATTCTGGACTCAGCAACAAGAGCCTAATATTTTCATGAGATTTACATAAACATGATTCATGAGGGATGTCTCCATGGAGCTTTACTTTGAAAATGACACTTTATGAGATGGATGCTCATCCAAGAAAATAGAATTAGCTTCTTTCAACGTAGTCAGAAGGAAATGTTTTTGTTCTGTCCTTTTGGGTTCATCTGGATTCTTTATGATAACCACATCTTTCTTGTCTGGACATGTCCAAGAAGTTGACAAATAAAATTGTGTTATAGTGTTGGAGAGTTCGTCAACGTGTTTTTCAGTACACTCCTTACATGGTGGTGGTATATCACTAATATCTGATGCAATCTGTTTTATCACTTCAGCCCATTTATTTGGCGAATTTGGAAGATTGTTAAGGACTCTGTGTTTAGCTTTTCCCAATGATTGCGGACTCTTAAATGGAAATTTTACTATTGGTGCAGACTTATTTTCAGCAGCAGAGGATACTTTCTTCAAATTTGCAGATTTCCTATGCTTCTTGATTGCCTCTACATTTCTTTGCCTCAGTAAAATTAATTCATTTAGGCTCATTTCCTGTCTTTTATTCAATTTTCTTAACCTATCTTTTTCTAGAATTCTTTCATATTTCAATAAATCTTCCTTAACCTTCTTCCTAAATCTTTCCATTTTTTCTTTTGGAGTTAAAGGCATTTTTATTTCTTCTCAACAAGGCTAACCTAGGCTTAGAAATTAGCAAAAGTCAAATTAAGTCATGTGACAGGAAATAAAAGTCACATGACAGGAAATGGACTCAGACCACCACTTTCACCAAATTGTACAAGTAATACTTACATTTGTTTTAACTTAAGTAATACTTGGATATGAGATAATCAAATCAAAACTAGAAGATGTAAGTTTCTTTATGAGTAGCTGAGTAGAAACAATTAATCTTTTTATGTAATTCCGTTACCAACATTTCTCAATTACTAGGAGATGTACACAAAAAGGTAACATATCCATCCATTCACAGATTCAAAGAGAGAGAGAGAATTACAAACACTTTAATTATCTGTTAATATTTAGATCTGTAAGATTAGAATTCAATTTTGATAGTTACGGAATTACGCTAAAATATGAGATAATATAGTGAGACCTGTAAAAAATTTCACGTTAAATTTGACAGAAAAAAGTGTGCTAATTTCAGAATTCTGTTGAAAATCAGTGTTAAAAAGCATGGTTTGATTTCTTCATATTAGGAAATAATCACTTGTAGCCAAATTTCTATAATGGACCAAATCGAACTATAACATTATTTTATTAATTATTAATCTTTTGGCTTTCTAACTGGCATGAATTTTCGGAGTGTTTTTTTACTCGAGAAATAGGTTTAAGCCTGGAAAAAATTGAAAAGACCCCAAAATTTTCATTCAATATTTTGTGGTTTTATATTTTCTGCTGTGGAATTGCCCTTATCCTTGTAAAATAGCCTATAGGGAGATCTTGGCCCCTCTAAATAAGAGATTCTAATAGATGGGGAATTCCCTAACTTACATCATAATTGACCCCTGTGAAATTAAGTGTCAACCCCACATTATTTTTTTTAGTTGATAGATTTGAAATTTTGATGGAAGATTTTTTTATTTTGCATGGTTACCTTAACCCTACTTAAATATTAATTTGATTTAAGATGATACTCTGCTGTTCTTATATATGAAGAAATATTTTGGTACAACACTTCCATGCCTAATGAAAGAAGCAGTGGAATCAGTTTTAAACGTTACTTTACAAAGGAGTGTTTGTAAAAAATTTGGTATTAAAAGAGCAACATTACAAAAATATTTAAAATCTTGTGAAACAATTGGGAATTGAGAAAGTCACGTTCGTGCCAAATAATGCTCGTGCGAGAATATTTTCCAAAGAGCAGGAAAATGAGCTTGTTGAATACTTGATAAATTCATCCAGAATGTGGCATGGAACTCGACCAGCCAGTGATGATTGGTTACCCTCGTCTTTTTTCCCCTCTTTCTCGCCTTTTTCCTCACTTTCTCACCTTTTACCTCACTTTTTCGCCTTTTTCCTCGTCTGTTTTCATTCATTTTTATCAGTGCACTTTTTATTTTCAAAAATTTAATTGAATTATTGAAAAATTCCAAAAAACCAGCGAAATTTATTTCGAAAGAATGTTAATCAAAAGTAACACATATTCTTTCAAAATAATGAGTTTTGCTGTTGTTCCATGCATACGGTATTTTGCATTTTGTTCACATTATTGGTAATCCAATGAGAATCTAGCATTAATTCAATTTTGTTTATCAAGGAATAAAAATTGTATACAAATGTTTACGAAATGGGATGGGGAACAAACAAATGCGTCTCCTTTTCTATTTTGAATCTATCCGAAAATTAACTCATTTTTACCCCGTGTTCTTCATTTCATCAGATATCGACACGTGTATACCATAATAAATTCCATTTTGTTTATGTTATAAGCCTATTATGTAACATAACTATGGTCCTTGGAATCGATTTATCGATGAAATAAATATTAATTTATAATGAAATGATCATAAACTAATGAATATGCATATCAACTGACGCCTTATGCCATGTTAAACCTGATCTGGAATTTAGTTTTCAACCAATTATAAATATCAGGGAGTATAGGTACTAATGGCAAAGTTACGAAAGCACAGGACTTATAACTTAATGTGTAATTTGAAAGCACTAGCTGTCTATTAAAAATAGCCTATCAAACATAAAAACTTTTGAAAAACCGGACCGGGACACATTGTTAAAAAACTGTTTTTGGGAGTCTTTAGGGCTTATATATGGACCAATTAAACTCGGTTTTATTTTTTATGTTCTTTGTAACAAGATAAATGTGTACAAATATTTTTACAATAATTCGATTTTTAGTTTTCTGATTGATATGAAATTCACTCAACGGTGGCATTCCGCTTTTTTTGTAGGTAAAAGAATTTTATGACGTAGGCCTAGGCTACACATTACATAAATTTTGTAAGTTTGTATTGTTTTTGTTAATTGCAAGAAAACTGTACGGATTTAAACAAATTAAACGCTTTATTTAGAGAAATATATGTCGCCTAATTTTTCTGAAGGTTCCAACTAAAATTATTGAGCCATTAAAAAGAAAAACATCAAATCTAGGTCAAACTAAATAATTAACGATCCATTTGTTAATTAACCCATTGAAATCAAATTCAGTTTGATCCAGTAGATACATAGATATAAATAGCGAGGTAAAAGGCGAGAAAGCGAGGAAAAGGGCGAGAAAGCCAGGAAAGAGGTGAGGAAAAAGGCGAGGAAAAAGGCGAGAAGACGAGGAAAAAGGCAAGAAGACGAGGAAAAAGGCGTGAAAGCGAGAAAAAAGGTGAGGAAAAAGGCGAGAAAGCGAGGGTAAAACAAGACGAAGAAAAAAGGGAGGAAAAGGGCGAGAGTAGATATAAATGAGATGGTAACTACAAAAAATACTCAAATTCAATTGTAGATGCCAACTATGGCGTTGAGTATTGTAATTTTTTTAATTTTCACATATCAAAGATGTTTTTATTGAAAGAATACGTAAAGATGCTCTATTTATCACAGAAATGTTATGATTTTGTATTACATTATATCTGAACTCCAACACAAAAACTAGAGGTGGAGTTCACAGAAGCAAGGGGAGATAATTCGGTAGTGTATTGTATTTGTAAAGAATCTGAATATGGTAAAATGATAATGTGTGATTATAAGAAAATTAGGTTTCATTATAAATGTTGGACATCGTCATAAATTAACTACATCAAAGAAACTTGGTGAGCAATCAAAAATGTCCTTATCTTTGTAACGTGACTAAATTAGTGAGGCTTGACTTTGTACCATTCTGATTGTCCGTTCGAAGACTGTGATGAACTGGATCAAAGTTACTATGCCACTGTCATAAAAAAAACTATGTGAATGGTAGGTGTGACTGCAATAATTTGGTTAAACAGATATATCGGGATAGTGCAAATAGAAAGTGATATAAGTGTTTATATTTATTAAAATAACAGTTTCTGGCATTTAATACCTTTACTCAAGAACTGATTATGTATTTAAGAAGATTATGTATTACATGAAGATAAATATATTATGATTAAATAATAATAATAATAAAAAATTAAATGAATGGAGTTTTACGTCCTACTTATCTGCACCATGTGGGCTAATGAAGACGGCAACGCCATGCAACGTACAATGAGGGAAGTTTGCCAGGACAGCGGCATTAGCATGCTCTTTTTCGCTTTCCTACTGTCGAGGGATCAGTAGCATGCCACACGGTGCCTCGGTTTATTGTTTCATCTGAACGACTAGTAAAATAACTGCATAGACTTAAAGTTGCTTAGTTATTTGATCTGTCACTTAAATTTCAATGAAAATGTCCTGGCAGAATGATGTTAGGAAAATGTTAACAATAGCCTGAGAACGTTTTCATTTAATGTTTTATGAAGATCTGCGCATCTTCCCTTCAGTTCAAAGTTTTATGTCTTTTAGATTTTTAATGTTATGACAGCCCTTCAAACACGTGAAAATTGGTTAGTTCAAACCTTCAACATAAGATTAAAAAAGATGAATGGATCAATCTCCGTCAAACTTGTCATATCTGTAGACAATTATAATGCAAAGAAACTAATGGGTTTTTTTTCGTTTTGACGGTAACCAAAAAAAAGTTACAGGGGCCAAACTATTTGTTATTTTCTGAAAAAAAACAGTATTCGCTTCCTTATTGAATAAGCTTTCTTTACTCTGACCACAACAAACTCATAAGAGTATAAGAGTTACGTCACCGGAGCGTATCCTGCAATCGTTCTCCTGTAATCAGTTCTAATCTATGGCTGGAAACAAGCCAAAAACGTCAAAAGCTCAGAACCTCACCCTACTACTGATGATTCTGGTGTGTGTAGCAGAGCAGAGCACCAAAGCTCATAACACTGACAGAAGCAGTCCTACGTCGGTAGTTAATCAACCAAAATGGAGGATGGATTTCAAGGTGTCAATTTAACCGTTTATTTCAGCCAATCCCGAACAAGACGGAATACCATTGATCTTCAATCCGAAGCTTCTGCGCTTCTAGATGCTTCTATATCGGAAAACACAAAAATCGCTTATCAGTTTGCTTTAAAATGGTTTAGTACTTTCTTAACCAAATACGATTTGGCCACCTGAGCAATCTTCTTTGACACAATTCATTTCTCATTTAAGGGTAGCAAACTATTCTCCCAAAACTGTCAAATCATATACTTCTACCATCGCCCACCTATGTCAAATTACCAATAATTTAGATACCACAAATAACTTCTTAGTCAGGAAAATGATCATGGGAATGTCTCGTTTAAAAGCAAGAAATGACATTCGTCGATTATTACACCAAGTTTTTTGTATACCACGATAACATTCGTCCATATACGAAGAAAAACAAGTGAATGTATAATGCATATTCGTTATTTTCGAAAATGTGTTTTACTCAGTATAGTAGCTTAAAGATGATGACTACAACTTTGACCATGGAATAAGTGTACAAGACAGGGTCGTAGCGAGCAGAATTTTGCTGTGGGTCAGACCATTGAAAGCAAAAAAGGCACATTTCCACCAGTTGACAAGATGGGGTATGTCATGTACTTTCTCTGGTGAGACAATTGGCACTTAAGGGGCATTTGGCGGCATTCAGTGAC